GGTGTCTTGCCCAGTGTATGTGTATATATGTTACTTTGCTATAATGTAACAAGAGGAAAAAAATTGTAGCAGTAATATTAATAGTATTTTTAACCTGAAGCCTGTTTTAGGAATCAGGAAGAAAGGGACTCTAAAGCTATGGATTTGAGCGGACTTCAGTGATACCCTTTAAGGCTCAGTTATTGCAGCTCCAACTTCTGTGGTTGGGTTTCTCTTCTTGTCTCCTTCTCCCACTTGGAGGGGAAAGAAAATAGTTTAGTCTCATCAGCATTTTGTTTCTTTTACCTAATCTCTCTAAGGAATTAAATTGACAGAGCTGAATTTCAATGTTCCCTCTCCTGGCACTGTAAAAGCCATCTACGTACAGCGCTTAGACAAGTGTTTAGTCAAAGAGCTGTCTACAAAATGATTTTTTTTTCTTTGAGGCATATGGTTAAACCTGTAGAACTCCTCTCCTGTGGTCAAACATGGCCCCATGTATGCTAGATAAGCTCTGCTACTGCAGCTCTGCTGGAAACCCTACTTGCCATTGTCTTAGCTTTCCTTGAGATAAATGAAGCTCAGCTGAAAACAGCCTAGTAAGTCCTTTTTTTTTTTTTTTTTTTTCCAATTGTCTGCCTTTGGTAAGGCTCTGTGCTGAAATGCCCTAAACATCTGTTATGGCTCTGTGCTGAAATGTCTTGAACATATTGGGAAAAACCTGTTTATTCCAGTACTGACCTTAGCTGTTATCATGGTGAATCTTGCTTTTAAATCGCCCCATTAATTTACAGGAAGATTACTTATGCTGTAGTGCTTCCTGGGGAATTAAGATGCTTTGTGAAACTAGACTTGGACAGCCCTTACTTAGAACTGAGATGTGTGCACATGGTAGTATACCAAACGAATCTGCAAGAAAATCCTTAGTGTTTTTCCAAATACTTCACTGATACCAAATGAAGCTTTCATCTCTTTCCATCTTTTATTAACTCCTGCTTTTTCTACCTCTTTTGTATTGTATTTGGAGATGTATTTATGGTAGGTATCATCACCTTACTGGCTCTGGTGTCAGCTGGCAGGCTGACGGGTCCCTGGGGGGCTCTTGCTCCCACGTTAAGGGAAGATGGTCCTGGTTGCCTGCTGGGCAGGTAGCGGGGCTGTTGTGGAAAGGCTTTGTGTAAGTGCTTGGGGCTGTAGGGCAGCTTATGGGAAAGGTGAAACTGGACAGGTCTCTCAGCCCAGAGTGCTCTCAGGACTGCTGAGATAAGTGGCTGTTGAGTCCCTCCAAAGCTATACCATATTTTTAGAAAACACAGAAAATTGAACACAGAAAACTGATCTGCACAGACCTTCCTTTCTAACTTAATTTTCAGTTAGTCAAACTCGCTTCTTGCACAGTTACTGCACTAGACGAGTATAAAAGAACCTTCATTTGTGAGCATAAAACTGGGCTTTATGTAGCAACTGGAGTGATAGTGAAGCAACGTGCCAACATTTGTACTGAGAAAAAGGCAATGAGGCTTGAAGAAAACCCCCAGTGTTGATATTCTTGTTTGTGACTGACTGACTCCTGTTTCTACCTACTCTTTCAGGTACTTGAAACACCTGAGAGCATTGGCAGCATTGAGTGGAAGGGAGGAAATTTGTAGATGATATCAGAGGTGCTGTGCTTTACGTTTCATAACTTGCATTCACCATGTGCTATCTGTAACTGGTAGTTATATGACTGTGAAGTCAAAGCCTTCTCTTCATCTTGTAGCACAGTCTCAACAGAAATTAGACTTCTTATATGTAAGCACGTGCACTGGCAATATGCATTGGTGTGTTGCGTTTTTAATATACTGAAGTGCAACTTGCAGTGTTCCTCAAACAGAAGGAAATAAGACAAATTTCCTTAAGTTTTGAGTTGTAAGGGGAACTTAGAAACTTACCACTTAGCACTTGATAACAGTGATTGCTTTTGAGTGAAACTAATGTTTCAGTTCTTTGATACGGTGCCTGGAATAACCATTTGCCTCTGCTTCCTTCACTATTCTTTCACTATGCTTCTTTCACGATTGTACTTCTGGAAGTACTTCTTGGAAGGCCGCCCTTTTACTGTGCTGTTACTCTGCTTGATTAAAAGTCTCGAACTCACGTGTGGGATGGGTAAGTGGTTTTGTTAGCCTCTTGTGCCTGAGGCTAGCAATTCTTTTCCCCACCCCCTGATGCCATCTTCTCTGTGCTGTTCTTACTCCAGGAGGTTACTCTTCTTCTGTGCCTTAACCTAGAAGGAAGTCACTTCTGCTTCTTAATTTGCATGCTAGTATAAAATGTAATGCAAATGTGTTTTCTTGGAATCCAGGAATCCTTAAAAGGAGACCAGAGCCAGATGGATTTCTTCATCCAGCCATGGACTTGTGGGTCATACTGTTTTAATAGCTACCTGTTGCTAAAACAAATTAACTTTATATTAAACACTTTCTGGCACTATTTCTCATCTCCATGTGTGGGAAAGCTCTGAGTTCATACCCAAGTAATGTACAGTCACTTCACCTCTATTCTAAATGCTGTTTTCCTGGCAGACATACCCTTCTCCCTATGTTTTCTAATCAAACTAGGCAACTCAGGAGTGATGATTTATTGATAATTCATACTGAACTTCATTATTACTCCAGTACTCTGGATGTACTGTAAACTTTTTGACCCTTTTTTTTTTTTTTTTTTTCAGAATAACTTTATTACTCTTCCCTTCTGGTCCTTAATCTCTCCTGAACTCCCACATTTTGGGTGGAAAAAATAACATTTGTTACTATATAACTCTCAAACTTAAGGAAGTTGAACTTGCATTTGATTTTTTTTTTTAGCTTCACCTGTTTAGCAAAGAAGGCTAACATTCTGTCATTGAGGAATAAATATGACAGTTTATGAATAACACTGTATGGTACCAATATGCATTTACTAAATACAGTATTGATTCTTCAGAATCTTTCACAGAATTACCTAGGTTGGAAGAGACCTCCAAGACCACCTAGTCCAACCTCTGATCTAACACTAACCATATCACTGAGCTCTACATCTAAACGTCTTTTAAAGACCTCCAGGGATGGTGACTCCACCTCTTCCCTGGGCAGCCCATCCCAATGCCTAACAACCCTCTCAGTAAAGAAGTTCTTCCTAACATCCAACCTAAACCTCCCCTGGTGCAACTTTAGCCTATGGGAGAACAGACCAACCCCCACCTTCCTACAGCCTCCTTTAAGGTACCTGCAGAGAGCAATAAGGTCGCCCCTGAGCCTCCTCTTCTCCAGGCTGAACAAGCCCAGCTCCCTCAACTGCTCCTCGTAGGGCTTGTTCTCCAGGCCCCTCACCAGCTTCATTGCCCTTCTCTGGACCCGCTCAAGCACCTCGATGTCCTTCTTGTAGCGAGGGGCCCAAAACTGAACACAGTACTCGAGGTGCGGCCTCACCAGAGCCGAGTACAGGGGGACGATCACCTCCCTAGCCCTGCTGGCCACGCTGTTTCTGATACAAGCCAGGATGCCGTTGGCCTTCTTGGCCACCTGAGCACACTGCTGGCTCATATTCAGCCAACTGTCCACCATCACTCCCAGGTCCTTCTCTGCCTGGCAGCTCTCCAACCACTCATCTCCCAGCCTGTAGCTCTGCTTGGGGTTATTGCGCCCCAGGTGCAGGACCCGGCACTTGACCTTGTTGAACTTCATGCAGTTGACCTCAGCCCATTGGTGCAGCCTATCCAGATCCTCCTGCAGAGCCTTCATACCCTCGAGCAGATCGACACATGCGCATAGCTTGGTGTCATCTGCAAACATACTGAGGGTGCACTCAATGCCCTCATCCAGATCATCGATAAAGATATTAAAGAGGACTGGCCCCAGTACTGAGCCCTGGGGGACGCCACTAGTAACCGGCCTCCAACTGGACTTGACTCCATTTACCACGACTCTTTGGGCCTGGCTACCCAGCCATTTTCTAACCCAACGAAGCGTGCACCAGTCCAAGTCAAGAGCAGCCAGTTTCTTGAGGAGAATGCTGTGGGAAACGGTGTCAAATGCCTTGCTGAAGTCAAGGTAGACCACATCCACAGCCTTTCCCTCATCCACCCAGCGTGTCACTTTGTCATAGAAGGAGATCAGGTTCGTCAAGCAGGACCTGCCTTTCATAAACCCATGCTGACTGGGCCTGATCGCCTGCTTGCCCTGCAAGTGCTGCATGATGACTCTCAAGAGGATCTCCATGAGTTTCCCTGGCACTGAGGTCAAACTGACAGGCCTGTAGTTCCCCGGGTCTGCCCTCTGGCCCTTTTTGTAGATGGGCGTCACGTTTGCTAGCCACCAGTCAACTGGGACCTCCCCCGATAGCCAGGACTGCTGATAAATGATGGTAAGCAGCTTGGCCAGCTCCTCTGCCAGTTCTCTCAGTACCCTTGGGTGGATCCCATCCGGCCCCATTGACTTGCGTACACCCAAGTGCTGTAGCAGGTCGCCAACCATTTCTTCGTGGATAGTGAGGGCCACATTCTGCTCCCCATTCCCTTCCACCAGCTCAGGGTACTGTGTATCCAGAGAACAACTGCTCTTGCAGTCTTTCACTAAAGATAGGCAAAGAAGGCATTGAGCACCTCCGCCTTTTCCTCATCTCTTGTAACTAAGTTTCCCCCTACATCCATTAAAGGATGGAGATTCTCCTTAGTCCTCCTTTTTGTGTTGATGTATTTATAAAAATGCTTTTTGTTATCTTTAACGGCAGTAGCCAGACTGAGCTCCAGATGAGCTTTGGCCTTTCTAATTTTGTCCTACACATCCTTACAACATCCTTATAATCGTTCTGAGTGGCCTGCCCTCTTTTCTAAAGATCATAAACCCTCTTTTTTTTTCTTTTTTTTTTTTTTTTTCTCCCTAAGCTCTAGCCACAGTTCTCTGTTCAGCCAGGCCGGTCTTTTTCCACGCTGGCTGGTCTTTGGGCACATGGGGACAGACTGCTCCTGAGCTTTTAAGATTTCCTTCCTGAGGTGTGCCCAGCCTTCCTGGACTCCTCTGCCCTTCAGAACTGCCTTCCAAGGGACTCTGCCAACCAGTGTCCTGAGCATCATAAACTCTGCCCTCCAGAAGTCTAAGACAGCAGTTTTACTGGTCCCCCTCCTGACTTCGCCAAGAATATAGAACTCCACCATTTCATGGTCGCTCTGCCCAAGACAGATCCCGACCACCACATCTCCCACCACTCCTTCTCTGTTTGTGAACAGAAGGTCCAGCGGGGCACCTCCCCTGGCAGGCTCACTAACCAGCTGCGTCAGGAAGCTAGCTTCCACACTCTCCAGAAACCTTCCAGACTTATGCACTGAAATCCTACAGGTGTCCTATAGGGAAGAATTAAATGAGCACCCTGGGCAAAGAACTTCGCCCTTTATACACCATGAACTGAAGTAGCAGTTACTAGAAACCACAAGTAGTTTTCATTGCTTTAGGTGAAGCTTAATGTGACCTGCAGGCAAGGCTAGATGGGCTGTCATCCCCCAGAACACACAATTTCCTATAAAGTGCCCCTGCAGAATGATACTTGGGTGAAGGAGCTTATGTTCTGAGTTTAAAAACCTTTTAAAGTGAATCCTTTTTATGGAGCAGTGATTTTCGTGGTTCAGTTTATTCTGAACCGTCATGTTACACAGGATGACAGCAGAAGCTGTCCTTTCTGAAAGACTAAATGGCTCGCAGCTGGCATTCGGATATAAAGTGACTCAGAAAATACTTTTTCTGAATTAGTCTAAGAAAAACTCTCATATTTCGAACTTTAAAAGACAAAGGTACTCAAGGAAAAGGAAGCTTTTTCACTATTTTTCACTATTTGCTTATTCACTGTATTTGACTACTCATATCTCTGCATCCAGTCACTGTGTATCACACCCAACAGAACCTTAAGGTTTCTGCAAAGCCATTCCTTAACTTTTTTTATTCTTTAAGAGTTATATACTGAATCACAATATGGAGGAAAAAATGGGGAGATGATGAAATGGATGAGAAAAGTTTCAATCGTGTGTTTTTGTATTCAAAGTGAACGTTGAAATGTAGAACATCGAAAATAAATTCCTTAACTTTAGGTTTGAATGAGGAGAGGCTTGTTGACAGGTCTAGTCATGCCCAGAACGTGTCTATTTTTGGAACAGCAGCGTACTGTACCTACGAGTAAGAGTAATCAGACAGGTACTGTTTCTCTTTAATTGATGAATTATTAATTGACAGGCTAAGCAAATGTGCTTAACATCAATAAGACACTTAATGGCCATGGGTGTATTGTCCTAAGCTTCACTTAAGGGTTTCAGTGACTTTTCCATCTTAATGGCAAAAAGGCATGTGTTAATAGACTTGGTATTTGAAACTGCAAGGAGGAAGCTCTTTGATTTTGTTCAGAAGTGTACCAGAGGCCACTTCTGAAGTTTTCAGGTGAAACGAACCAAATACTGTGTTATTGTCAGTTAAGAGGCTCAGAGGACAAGACCAACACAGAAGGTGGAGGCTTAAAGTACAAAGACTGATTTCTGAAAGCTAATCATTATAAACAGATAATGAAGTCTGGGGGGAAAAATCTCCAGTCACAGCATTTTGTTATACTTGAGTCACAGCTACAGAACAGCAACGTGAACATCACTTTTCATTGATCACCAAACACAATGCATAAGAAGCTGAAATTACTTGTCTCAAAACATGGTGGTGCTTCCTCCTGAGAAAACTCCCATCCAGACCTGTATGTGAAGTCAAAAGGCTGTCATCGTTGGACAAACATCTTCTCTAGCTTTTTGTCTCTCTTCAAATGGAGCCTTTTGTTTTGTTTCATACTGTGGTGACTGGTAGTGATCGAATGTCTGAGGTAGCTGATGTATGTGAATGTGAGTTGCAGTTGTAGCTTTGGTAGCTTTTAGTCCCAATTCTGTGCTTCACTTGGCTCTGCAGAGCTAGGGACCTCCACTACCTTTACTATCTCTGGTCTTGACAGTAGAGTGTAAGCACACAAAATGTTGTGGGATTTAACTCTTGGAATACTTTGATGTAGAGAAGAAAATAAAATAATAAAAAAAACTAAAATGCCAAGCTTGTCATTTATTCTAGAATAAAAGAAAAACTCAGACTGGAAGTATAATCCTGCTGCTCTGGAGGCTAGGAGAGATGACGTCTTGCTCAAAGCAGGGGCTGTCTTTGAAGTTCTCCATTTATTCTTTTGTGGCTGCAAACTAAAAGAACACTGTAAAAGTATCTTCCAAACCTTGCTTCCTGCAGGAATACAGTTAAAACTTTCTGGAAACACTCAGTAGTGCTTGCAATTAACCTACCAGTCACTGCAGGATGCAGAACATAGATCACAAACTCACAGCAGGTTATTTTCTTGGAGTACATCCAGCTCCAAATAGCACTTGTAGGAGTTGGTGCACTCCCTAAAACAGGGTGCCTCGGGGAACACTTTCCCTTCGAGAAAGTGACTGACTGGGTTGGAATGTGTGCAGATGCCAGGGGCGGCTGCTCGTTCCTCCCCAGATTCAGGTCAAGCTGCATCTTGAGTTTTAGTAAGGCTTGAGTTGAGGGCTACTTCTTATGAATGGACATCCTCAGTTCAGTTACTGTAGGGAGAATGTGGGTTCTCTCCTTGGCTACCCTCTCTTTGGTAAAACTGACAGTACTTTAATGCAGCATTGCACAGAAGAGAGCCTACTGACTTCCTCAGGCTGGGTCAGAGGATCGTCTTAACCAGGTACTCTGAGCTGCGTGTTGTCAACCTGCCTCCCAGCAACCTCCAGAGCGACTGGGAACAAAACTGATGAGAAAGCAATAATAATGTAATTGCCAAAGCAAGGAGGAGCTTAACTTTACTACTGAAGACTTCTTTTCCCCAGATAAGTAGTGCTAAACTATTTATACAGCATCCGCTGAAAGTAGCACTTTATTCCTAAGTTTTTGTGGGTGGTATCCCTCAAAGTGTTTCAAAAAAAGGAATTTTTGAGTAATACTTTTTAATTTGTTTTTATTAAAACTAGTTCATTCGGTACACACTCATCATACTTCACTAAAATCTTTTTGATTGAATCTCTTTGGATGAATATATCATTGTTACAAAATGATCTTGTTCACTGTTGGCAGTGGGAGGTAGGGGAAGAGTAGAGCCAAAATACAGCAGAAATTATTATGAAGGCTTAAACATCAGCAGCTGTTTGAAATAAAAATCTAAGGTGCATTTCCCTCCTTCTGCCTTCCCTCCCACCCCCTTCCAGCACTGATCAGATTTATTTTGCCTTTTTTACTACAGATACCATGTTAATACTTCGAAAAACTTGTTGATTTTCAAGGCCTTTTGTAAAGATCTTATCTGTGGTCCTTTTAGCTCATTTTTTGGCATGGGTTCAATTTTTTGAAAGTAGCAAGCCTTTGACAAGTGCAATTGAATTCCTAGGGCATGCTTGCTGTTCAGGGATGATCAGCGCAAACCAAAGGTAGCGATTCCCGTGATAATGTAACGTGCAGCCTCTAGATGTAAATTCCCACGTGTAAGGGAATGAAATCCACTGCTAATCAAGTCTGAGTATCTAATTCCAAGATGGTGTGTCCTAGGTAGACTGGCTATTAGCACTAGCCTGCAGCTGTCTCTTCTAGCACTTTAAAGGCAATAAAATACAGTCAGCCCCACTTTTCCTTTGTCCCTGCTAAATGCTCTGGGAGAATACTGCCATTGTGATCTCTGTATCACTGTAAGCTTGCTCTTTCACAGCAGGGTACAGTTTGATCGTCTTCTCTGGGAAGTGATCAATTGACAGCTGCTCTAAGGAGACCCCAAGCTCTCATTAGCAGGTAGCCAAACACTGGGCCTAGAGTATCCTACTGCTCATCTGCTGAAGGTACACAAGCAAGTTCCTGAACAGGCATCTTGGTCTCCAATTGTTAGCAGCTTTAGGGATGTCTGAAGCCATATGGATAGAAGAAAGGGGTCTCCCAGCTCACCAGCTCCTGATGCTCTTTTCTTTTGGGGAGTGACTTGGAGATGGTTAGGACAATTGCTTTGTATTCATTGCTTCCTTGTCTAAATTGGCCTTCTCCAGAGTCACATACATTTTCCAACTTCGATTACTTGAGGCTGGAGGATAGTTTCTATCTGTATTTAGCAATACAAAGAAAGCACTGACCACACTTAGCTTTAGGTATTAAAATGCATACATGGGGTATGCTGATGCTACAGGCATAAACAAATGATGAAACAGCTCTAACTAGAAGAACCTTGGAGCTATGATACTTGGTCCAAGAACTGAAAGAATGGCAAAAAAAATCCCCAGACATCTACCAAGCTCCAAGTGAGTTAGGTCTTGTTCTGACAGTGAAGAGGGTGTGTACTGCTTCAGATAACATCTCAACACAATATTGCTGTGCACAGCCTCTATTCTTTTCAACACATACACTTGCTTAATCTTGGGTATTAATTTAGTGCTTTCTGTCGTTTCAAAATAGACCACAGAGAGATTGTTAGATTCATCTGAGCTGCTGTTCTATTTTGTCTCCTTTCTCGGAGGAAGAAGTGGAGTGCTGTTCACGGGTGGTCTGCTTCATGTGCACACCACATGAAGGTGCAGTTGTCAGTGTCAAATGAGTGACTTCTACTAAGGGACTGAAGCTTCCTCTGTTGCGTGTTGTGTAGACAAAGGTGAGGAGTAGGACGTGTTCTGAGGAGTTAGTCTGGAGCCTGTGTCTTTATTCCGTTTCCTTACCCAGGAAAGGATTAGAGACGTGCTGCCGGAGCGGGCGGCGCTGTGGCTGTAATACTTGGCTCGCGGGCAGGTGAGGCTTACAGCCTGGCTGACAGTTAGCCCGAGGTTTGTGTTACATTTGGACGTGGTTATAGAAAGTGGAAACATCTAACACCTGTCACTTGGGAAAGGTCCTAAATGACTAGTAAATCTTAACCTGTAATGGGTGCCATATGGCACTCTTTATTTGCATCTGGAAAAAATCAGGAAGCCTCTAGAGGCTAGTGATTAGAGGCATGTATGTAAAATTCAAATAAAACTGAGACTTCCTGGAAAGCAAAGTGGCTTACTGTATGCTGCTGCTGTCTGAATGTCAGGTGTCTCAGTGCTAGAGTTAGCTGCAGAAACGCGTAACTGGACAGGCGAAGATGAAGGCATGCTAAATGAAACTAGTCCCCTACACTGCAGTGTACATGTTTAAGGAGTTTGGTTATGGTCTGCATATAAGCCAGAGGGTGCTTTGATGTGAGTTTTTAATGTTCACATCAATATATGGTAAACTAAGCCAACAGAAATGCAGTCCTGACTTCATCTCTTGCGTACTGTGGCTGTTTCCCCACATCGTGCATGTTCATGCTCAGACTTTCCCAGTATGTAAAGGTGCAACCTCAGTGCAAGTTTTTATTTCTTGAAGTCTTAGCTGTGGAGCTGTCATCAAGGACTTATTTCCAGTGTATTCATGGAAAAAACGTTTCCTTGTATGTGTGGTATAGAGTAAAAACAAAGGCAATGAATTTAAAGCAGCTGTTAGGATCTTTTTTTGGTTGGTTCCAATGTCTTTTAAATTGCTTCCAGGAAAGAACAGAATCAGAGTTGAGCATTTAGAACTGAAATCAGAAGTAGCAAAGTGTGGGCTGCCTACAGAGGAGGTATGTCATCCGCCCCTTCCCAAAATCTCCTATTGCGAAACTGAAAGCTGAAGAGCTGCTTTGTTTAAGGTGTTTCTCTACCCAACCCCTCTGTTCAGAGGTTTGGGCAGGTGCTGCAGTGCCTGCTGAGCAAGGAAATGGGTACGGCATCTGTGGGCTCATGTACTTGAAGGCAAAGTGGGTAGAAAAGACCATCTGCTAGTTTGTGTTCTGTCTTAATTTCTCTCCGCTTGCACTCTTTTTACCAGCTGTGTACTTGTCAAATCGAAACACAGCAGCGCATCTCCGGGTGGCAGCATAAAGGCGGTACTTAACCTGAGCAGCCACATAAGGACACTTTCACAAATTCTTACAGCAGGGTTGGGGTGTTTGGAGAGTTGAGTTCATAAGGACAGAAGTACAAGTACTTGGCTTTTCAGGTGTCTTCAGTCTCACATTTGAAATGTTTGTGAGATGGGCAGTGAAGCTTGATGTGATTATTTTACTTTCTGTGTGTCCCACCCGGTGAACACGCTGCACTGAAGCCCGCTTGCTCTGTAAGTCTTACAGGCCCCAGAAATCCGAGTTCTGAGAAGCGGTGAGAACTGTCCGGATGCTTTTCTTTGCCTACAGTTGAGTGCAAGTCTGGCAGCACTCATTAAAGCAGGGTGGCAACTATCATTTTCTTTTATTTTCTTTTAGAAAATGAGAATGAGCTACTGTGAGTTGTGAGGGCCGGCTGTTCAAACTCTGCTTGAAGGGTTTGCACCTGGGGAGTTCTCGGCTTTCCTCCTCTTAGAGCTAAGTGTGGAGAAATGGAGCAAGGTCTGGGAGCTGACCGCGTGCCCCGCTCGCTTTCTGTCCTGGTCTGGGTTCAGGAACCAAACACTGGTTTACAGATTGCAGTGCCCCCTGCTCCTGGGGGATAACCTCTGTGCACATTTGCCCATTGCTTTCACATTTTTTTGTTTAAAAAAGGGAGGTGGAAAGCCCTAACTTCTGGAAGGGTAAGGATTGTTTCTGTGTAAGCTTTCCCCTGCTGACTTGCATCCTTCTGCAGCTTGCTGGAGAGGAATCGTTCCCCTGTTTGTCTGATTCTAGCCGTGCTCAGCAGTTCAGGCACTGGGACAGCCTGCTCCTACTCAGCGTGTTTGCTGACCGAGTCTCTCGTGCAGCAGCAGCTGCTGCTGTGCGGCAGGTCACTTGACCAGCCCAAATCTGCAGGTGAGTGATTCTCTAGATCTCTTCTCTGAGCTGTCCTTAGGAGCTTCCAGGAAAGGGAGGGGAGTGTGGTGCTTGCAGGGAAGTCTCCTTTACATGGAAAAAGTCTTCATGGGCAAATAATTACAATTTGGGGTGTGATGGAAGTTATACAAGCTTTGGGCTTGAATTCAGTAAAAAGGCTGAGTCTGTAAATTGGTGGTGGCTTTTTGCGGTGGCAATCCTTACATGTCACTACTGCTTTAAAAGCAGCAAAGACAATATAAGTGTTCAGGTGTCTAAATAGTAAACCTAATATTGCCTCTTAAGAGGAGAAAAGAGGGTTGTAATCAGTTCGACATCTCAATCTGTTTAACCTGCCTTTGTCATGATTTCTGACTGTTTTCAGTCTCAGTGGCCAGAGCTATGGCTACTACAGCTAAGAACCTGGTCTGCAAGTTTGAACAGATACTGTATTGTGCAGACTTCAAAGAAAGATGGTGCCTCAAGGTGTAATGGGTTCAGTTATGCTTCAGAAGTTCCCTTAATTTAAGTAAAAAGCTGGTCAAGAACTTCTGTAAACATGTGCTTTGACTTGCATTTTAGATCAGGATGCATATTCTCTTACTATCGTTAGGTAGGCAAAATGAGGAAAATGATTACTTAAAAGTATGTAATGATACACTTTGAAATCAGTTTTGCTTTAGAAATGTTGTTGCTTATAAAGACAATACTTCAGTGAAAAAAAAAAGAGTGGCCAGCTGAGTTCTGGAACTGTGAGGTGTTGTGCTGCCATGGCTGACTTGATGGTTAAGCACTCAGATCTGTGAGATCTGCAGACTTGTACTCTTGTTAAACCTAAAGAGCATGTATGTGGAAATCATAATTAGAACTCACAAAAGCTGCTTTAATTCTACTTGTCAAATCCCCACAAACCCTTTTGTTTCTCAGTTATATTCATGTCCAGGCAAGTGAAAGGAAAGCTCAACTTGCTGAAGATAAATGGTGAAATCTTTGACCTGGCTGAGCAGTAAATCCTTAGCTAGATAACTGTGCAGGTGTTTTGTTACACAGATCTTGGCAAGCTAACAGATGTGAGTATATGTTCTTCAGGACCACCACCAAAATTAAGCTTAATCTTTGTGTGGAATGTCAAGGCTGAGTTTCTTTGCCCATGTAAATAGAGGTATAAATAATTGAATTTGGAACTTTTGCATGGATACAGCAGGGTAAGTATGGGAGCCTTTCTCATAGGGCAAAGATGTTTGTAATGTGCTTTTTTATATGTTGACTTCACCATTTTTAATCAATTAGTCTTGGTATTGATAAAGTACAAATATTTATGCTCCCTTTTTTTTTTCCAGTGTTAAAACATTCTGATGTTCCTGTCTGGGGAAGCTGCCGTGCCTCGGTGCAGAGGGTAATAACGGTGTTTAGGCACTGGAGCAGCTGGAAGAACTGCAGGAGATGCAGGATTTGTCCCATTGCATAGAAGCTTCCTTCTAGGAACAGGGCTTCCACAAGTGAAAATAGCTTTTACCAACTTTAAATTGTGGCCAAGGGCAGGTGATGAGCAGCTGGGACTGACTTTGGGGATAAGCAGTTACTGCAGTAGTTCCATGAGCTGCAGGATGCTGTCAAACTGAGCCTTGGCCATGCCAGCTGTGTGTGCCCGAGCTAGCCTGGTGTTGTAGCAGTGCCAGGAAATGAGTGTATTTTCCCCATATATGTGATCTAGAGACAGATGTAGTCAATTGTGACTAGAAGATCTCAAAACCATAGATTTTAGCCAAATTAATACTTCCACTGTTTCTCCCAGCTCCTGTTCCTCTTCAGCTACAAAAAATGTTGTGGGCACAATGCATGCTGAGGGAGCACTCGAGGGGTTTGATGTACCTTTCGTTCTTCTGGCTCTGGGCTTAGTGGCTTGACACGACTATCAGAACACAAGGCAGTGTTTCAGTCAGCTCTTTTTCTTTGCTTTCCTCTCTAAAGCAAGTAGTACTGTTTTTAATTCTTACTGCCTGATCAGTTTGCAGTTTCACTGCAAACTAACGGCTAGTCATGTGGTGCTGGCAAATATTGAAGGGAGAGACCTAAATCTGAGACTGTTAATAATAAAAGCGGGACTGTGACACATAACAAGTGCTTTTTACAGCGCTTGGAAGGAAGGGGAAGCATCAAGCCTGAAGTATTTGGTCATCAATGTGTCCATCTTGAGGCTGAGACTACATCTTTCAAGAACACTACTTCATTCCCTGAGCAGCTCTGCAGTTCAGCCTGCTGCAGGTAGCAGAATGGCTCAACCACACCAGCCTGGCCCAAGTGCTTCTGTTATTCCTGTGCTTTGTTGCAGGTGTGGAAAGAGCTGTGATTTTCATGTTCAAGAGCAGTTATGGGAGACAGTCCACGGGTGTGTGCCCTGCATGGGAGGGAGCCCTTGGAGCTGAATTGCTTTTGAGTGGTTTTGTGACTGGTTCTTCCTTTGGCCGTTCCCGTAAATGAGTCTTGGTAAAACCAAACTACAGACTTAAGCATAAGCATTCAAGTAAATTCTCGAGAGGTCATTAGAAAAAAACAACTGTGCGAACATGCAATTACAGGAGATGAACTGCAACTGCTGCGCAGTCTGGCTTGAGTGTCTATCAACTGTTTAGCTTTTGCTGCTTGCTCTCTGCTCCTTCACAAACTGGAGCATTGTTCCACAGCTCAGTTAAGCTCCTGTGATCTAAGTATGTGTCAGACTTTTTGAAATGGAGAATTTTGGCCAATTTCTCCTAGGCAGAACTTGATTTCAGTGACTTGTGTGCATCTTTTCCCTGCTGGAGGGCACTCTTCTCACCTGTCAAGGTGGCTTACGACATAGTGGTGTCAAGTAACTGCACGGTTCCCTTCAGGACAACATCTGTTTGTGAAGCTGGTTTGTGCACGTTAATCCCCACAGATGCCTCGTGCTGAAGCTCAGTGCTCCTTGAAATCAGGAAGGAAATCTTAGTGCATTGCAGGCCACAGCAGCGTTTCACACCAGTGGATACCCAGTATCAGTTTGATTCCTCCTTGACCTCTTGCCACCACCAGAACTGAGCTGTCCAGAAACCACGCAGGCTGTTGGTATAAACTGTGGTGCTAGGGAGGTAAAGTAACGTGGCTGTGCTCTTTGAGAAATGGAAGAGCTTATCGCACAGGAAACTCATTTGTGATAAAAGAATACATAAGGGGGATGGAAAGGAGCTGAGGAATTGCTCAGCTTATAAATGCTGAGCCTGGGCTTTGTTTCTTTCTCTTCTCTAGCTGCTTGAGCTATGGATTGAGAAATCATTTGTAAGCAGTTTTGATTATTTCAGAACACCTGTAATTGTTTACAAAGACACCACCTCCATTCACTAACTGCTTCTGTAAGAAGTTACACCTTCTATTCATTATCAACTTCTGATGTGTAAATTTCAAGTTCTGTCAAACAACTAGCATCTCTCCCTATATCTGACTTTTACAGTAGAAAGAGCATTAAATTCTTGTTAAATAACAATGGCCAAGTGCTAATGTGTTATTTAGATACTGATGCGTTCTTCAGCTTGTGGGTTTTTTAGGTTATTTTTTCCCTCTACACCCCCTTCCTCCCCCTGCTGCCAAGTACCTTACTGCCCTGCAGCTGCGTGGCTGTAATGGTGAATCACTCCCAAAGCACAGTTACACCTCCCATCTATCTGCCTCAGTAGTTGTTACTAATGTGTTGACTAACTGTTGTTACTTCGATTCTGCCTCGTGTAAAATCAGGGTAATCTATCTGAAGCCATCGAGCAGCCCTCTATAACTTTTATTAACTTGTTCTTAGTAGTCCATAAAAACAATTTGCCTTTCCCTTCACAGGTTTAGGAAGTCCCAAGTTGCAGATCTCTCCAGGAATAGCATCATCTGTCTTGTGTGTGTTTTGTTTGTTTATATGGTTGTGAATGGCAGCTGGGAGGTGGGGAGGGAGTGGGGAGGCTGAAATTGTCTTGTAACTGACATCTCTGGGCTTGATGAGAAGAGGGGAATGTGCCTAATGCTCAAGGCAGTTTTCCAGCCAAAACAAATCTTGATAACTTAGGTTTATTCATTCCAGTGAGCAAACTGTTACAAACGTGTGGCCAAGAGTAAGAAGTGACTTTGATTTCAAATGTGTACCTCTTCAAACTGGAAAACAAACCAAAAAATAAAAAAACAGTTCTGTTGGTGGCATAAAGCAATTTTTTTCAGTCCACGTAAGACACAAAAGACTGAGCTTGTTCTGGAAGAATTATCCTTTGACTAGAAAACCAATACCATCCCTCCTTTTATGCCCTAATGAAAAGAGCTTGCTGTCTACACACTAGTTCAATGGGGGAGAAGCTGTCAGGAAAATCCAATGAAAGGATTAGCTCAACTTGAATAGATTAATTAGAGCCCTTGATTGTGTCCTGCTATGCAAAAGTCACAGCAAAGGAAATGGCAATGATAGTGAGTTCATCCTCACAGGTACAGGAGGGGTTGTCAGCGGGCACACAGTAGGCAAGAAGCAGATCTAAGAAGTTGCAGTCTGTCTGACAAGCTGTATCCATTTGTTGTCCATCCTCCTGTAGTTGAAAACTAAAAGATTTTAATGGTCATGGAGCTTATACGATCAAATCTTTATGATCAAGCCACAATTCATTATTCCATCCAATATCTTAGCTTTCCTGTTGCATAAGGTCTACGCTGCATCCTACTGACCAGAGCTAGGATTTGAGCTAGTACCGAAGCCACAGGGGCCTTGTTCAGTTTCCTGAACCTGTCACAAATGTACCAAGTGCAGCTTGGAGTTCCAGGAGCTCCACTGAGGCTTGAAGTCAATTTGTTATGTTTGAAAACACAGCAAGCTAGCTAACAGTCACTCGTTCTGATAATGAAGCTGTTACTGAGGGCAAACTACTGGCAGCGGCCATCTAAATCTTGATTTTAATGTAGGCTTTCTGTGCTTGAAATGTAGTCGCTACTGTGCATAGCACGGAGCCTGGATTTGATTCATTTTTGCATTAACGTGAGATACAGAATGAAATCTGTGATATCAGGTCTCTTGCCTGTGGCTGCAGAGTGGCTTTCAGACTTGTGCTGGCTTGTTACACAGTTTGTGTTCTCCTGTAGCACAATTCTTGTGCCTGCTTTCCCAAGTAAAAAAAAAAAAAAAAAAAAAAAAAGACCTTGAGATTACTGAAAAGTCTAAACAAGAAGCAAGCTTGTATTTAGAATAGGTCATTAAGCTTCTTGGTTTTTGACTGTGCTGAGATGTTGAACTTGGTTTTTGTTAGATTGCTGTATGACCCATAAGTGGCATGAACTGATCTTGATAGTGTATGAATTCCTAGGGCTTTCTCTTCAAACTGCTTAGTTCAGAAACGTTAATGTGGTGGGGATAGAAGTTACTGCAGAATAAAAACCACAATCTGTCCGGCTACTGCTTCTGTACAGCAAGATAAGTGACTCTGCTGAGGGAATGTTGCTTGATAAGCTTGTGGGCGAATAGATTGTCCCAGGATTTAAGCCAAAAACTCCCATTGTTTGACTGTAGCGAGCATTTGGAGAGAACTTTCTGACTACAGGCTGTTTTCAGCTCCCCTTACTTCTGTTTGGGAAAGACCGCGTTCCCTTCCTGCGGGGAAAACATCTGAACCGAGTATGCAAAACAATCTGTCAAAAAGTGCTCAGTGAGTACACTTGACTCTTTGGGGTGGGCGAATTGTCTAAGTTAAGTGGCTGTCCAGTGTCTGAATCCAGCCTGAATATACAAATGACTTTGGAAGACAGTCACAGGGATGTCTATTTTAAGAAAAGGAAGAAAGTCTTGTGGTAGGAGCTATGGTGATTAACACAGAACACTTTTTCTTTAAGCTAAAAATGAGATAAGGGAAAAAAGCACTCTTTAAAGTATCCTATATAGGAAGACCCGTCCTAGTAAAAAGCTGTTTTTAAGGGCACAATTTTGGGAAGGGTGCACTTTAATCTTTTGGCATCATATCCACCATTACTTATTACCAACATACACAAGAAAAATGCTTTGTCAGCTCTGTAAAGAATGAAAATCAGCACAAGTCCCTGACCATAAACAAGCTGACTTAAAGCTTGGGGCTTTGCTTCATTTTGGGATGCCCAGATTTGAGAGGGTGGAACCCAGGGTGTGTTAGACTTCCCCCCACCAGATCAGAATAAAGCTTAAGGGGAGAAGGGGAATCTTTTGGCTTTTTCATTTCTTAGGTTATAATAAAGATGGAGCCAGGCTCCTCTCACCCTGTATAGGATAAGAGGGGATGGGTACAGATTGTACCTTAGCGAACTCAGTGAGATTTGGAGGGCACGCTTCACCACAAAGGTCTTCCTTGTGCAGGGAAACTCACTGCTGCATGGCATGGCGAGACAGGTAACTTGCTCTTTGGGTTACTCTTGTACTGTGAGGCACGGGAATATTACATGTAACTAAGGTTAATCCCTTTTAAATGAAGCTTTATTAACGAGATTAATCCTAAAACTGATTCAAAAGGATCTTGTCTTTTTTAAATACGCTTCTGAAAGTGAAAAGGATTGGATATGGAATTCATGGAGTAACTTGGGTTGCAGGGGGACTTCAGAAGGGCATCTGGCCAAACACCCTGCTTCAAGCAGGGTCAGCTCTGAGGTCAGGCCAGGTTACTCAGGACTTTGGTCTGATCATTGAAAACCTAAACTGTCCAGGAAGGTTCAACTTCACTTTAGGAAATAGCTCAGTAACTCCCTGATAACTGAGAATTTTGAGTTTTCATGTATGTCAAATCAAGAAACTGATTACAAAAGCTAAATGAAAGGTGTGGAGATATGTCCTAGTTGTGCTGGGTAGAACTACTGCCCACTTAAAACTTAAAGCTCTGCCTTTTGCCCCCAGCTGGTTTATCCAGGGTTTGTGTAGCTCCAGGTGAATTAAGCTACTTGGGTGCTTTCCTTCTGATGCTTGGTAATGTGTTTAGGCTAAGAGCCAGGACATTGCTAATGCCAGGTAGGTGATGGGTCATGTCTCTGGGATAATGAAGGCTCGAGTTAGCGTGGGTATACTTGAGAACTGACAAACCGGCTGCTCTCCTGCCTGCCTGAAACTTTCTCTGTACGTACTGTTCTTTGCAGGGGTTACTTGGGGTGGGGGGACCCCACACCCTCAGCTTTTCAAACTTCCAGTGTTTGTGCCATCATCTTGGTTAGAATAATGCTGCACATGTCCTCAGAACAAGTTAAGTCCTAAAGTATGTTGGGTAGTGTATCATCTAACATTGCTTATCTTTTTCACTGAAAGAGGCTTGACAATTGTCTGTGTATTATGTACAGGTATTTTACAAAGTCTCATTTATTCCAGAAATATCTCTTCTTTAAACAGTTCACTTCTGAAATCAGCAAGGAATTGTAATGAGTATCATATGTTGAGTGGGGGAGAGTTTAAACTGAGCAAATAGAGTTACCTGATTTGCATCATCTTTGTGAATTGAGTTTCTGTATCTCCTTCCTCTGACCCCCTTAGTATCAGCATGTGCCCACATGTGAGGGAACGTGTTAGCTGGCTTGTCATTCTTGGTGGAGAGTGAATGCAACTAGATAAAATCTAGTTTTTTTTTTTTAAAAAAAACTTCTCAATAACTGAGCTGTGGGAGAAAGAACGAATTGGGTAGTAAGTATCTTGCCAATAACTACTATAAATAAACTCATAAGCTTTAAGCTTGGTTAAACTCTTGTTCAAAACCTGACATCTACTGGTGGGAGCCATAAATGGACACTCAGTGCTCAGGCTATAGGTGTTGGGTTGTACCTAGCCCTAGAATAAAATGTGCTTAAGCATAGATTTAAAAATCTGTAAAATTGCCAATAAAACTGTAATGAGTTGAAGCGTGTCTATTAAAAGAGGTGGTCAAAATTCCAATAGACTATTTTTGAACACATGTATAAGGTCTAGATGACAAACATTGTAGGCTTATGTTTTAGGATATCTTTTGCAGTAGTATTGTAGACTTGCTTTTTGGTCTTACAGTGATTGACATTTAGTCTTTTCTTATGTCTTTAAAGGCTTGCCATGGATGTACATCGTTATCCAAATGTGATTGCAGTGGAGTTAAAGGTGAAAAGGTAAGTATATCTTTTTGTGTTAGACTAGTGCACAGACCACTGAGCCATATGCCATCTGCAGATATCTGAAGTTTATGAATAAATTATACTTGTTTTCTTTGTCAGTGTTGTAGGCACGCACCAAAGTATACGGCTCTTATAACAGCTTCAGGTACTGAGTCAAACCAAGTGGTCTATCTGATGGTGTACAGAGCTTCATATCACTGTTCTATCAAAAAATGGGGAATGAGACACAATTCTGCAGGAATGTGGGAGTATAAAGCAGAAAAGAGATTAATTTAGTAATGTAGAAATAACTTCTAGGGACTGGCTACTATAACCAGTTCCTCTGGGCAAGCCAAGTGGTGGATTGCACAGTAATGCCCACTAGTAATGTTTCAGTGGGAATTTTAAACTAGTGTGGGATTTTTCCACTTCCCTTGCATTGCCTGATCTAAGTAGTTGACAATCACTGTTGTGCTCTGAACTTGCACCATTTCTAACCCACAGCTTACACAGCTGTATGCTAAGGTGATAGCTGTTGCTGTCCAGTTGCTCAGCTGAAAGTTGGAGGTGGCCATTCAAATGCAGCTTTCTGAACATCCATAGCTGCCAAGTGACGAGTTGGTTAGTGGCCAAAACTGTATTCTCAGATCAAATAGAGTAACGAAACCTTTGTGGTTGATCCAGTAAAATAGGCAGTCTGGGCTGCGTGGCCAGCAGCCTAAGGCCAAAAGATGCATGCTGAAATCCCAAAGCTTTCCTGTTTTTCGTGCAGCTTGGATTTCCACTCTTGCTGTCTGAGCTCTATACTTTTAATTAAGTTCTTCATGCTTCTATTGCTAATACTTCTTATAGTTTTAGAAATCTGTCCTCTGAGGAAACAGTGGGTACTCAGCATTTCTTTCAGGTACAGTGCACAATGTAGCTGTGCAGCTCAGGACTTGCTCAAATTGGGCAACTGTGGGAGCCTGCTTCTGAGTAAATTCTGGTTAAATAGTCAGCATGTAACTGCTGTTGTCGCAGGGTAGGGATGTAATACATGTATGATCACAATGAGGAGAGAAAGTGCCTGAAACACTTTCATAGCCATGTAAAGTTTGCCTGAGATGCAATGGAGGCCTTTTAGATGTGAACTTCTAAGAGTATGATAAGCCTGTCTTATCAAAGTACTTGGCCCCTCTCAACAAGGTTCTAAGAGGGCCTCAATGCTCTAGATTCATTTCTGAAACATGTCAAAGGTGGTTCTGAGGTTATATGAATAAGCATAACATCAAGTGAACCAAAAAGATGCAAAATATTCAGTCACTCCATTAGCACAATGTGGTGTTGATACAGAATTTTACTATTGGCTGAGGTTAAACAAGGCAGATGTCCAAAATTCAGAGTAATTCATGGTGCCAAATGTACCATCCATGTGGATCCAAACAGATGAGGTCATTCCTTAGCATTTACTCGCTTTTGGTTCATCAAGTATATTCCCAATTTACATACCTAGCGAAAGACAATATCCCCTCAAAGCTTTCTAACTTAGATTTGCTTAGCCAAAACCTGAACCTGGTCCTTGCATTCCTACAGGATCTTCAAATGCAGGTGGCTAAACCAGATGTATCCTAACACTAGTCACAGAACTGTTTCAGGTTTAGTTTGAAGGCGTTCAAGCATCAGGGTTACATTCCTTGTACAACCACAGCAGGTCCAACTTTGGAGAACCCATCTGTAATGCACAGTTAGCCTTTTTCTGCACCAGTCACAGCTATTTTGTGAATCCAGTGAACACAACTACTGGCTGGCATGGATAAGAAACATCTAAAAGTACATCCGGAGTTCTAAATAAAACCAATTAATTGTTTTCTCTCAGTGATTCAGTATTCTGTATGCCACTTACACATGCACTGGGATCATGGCCCACTTGACACATTCCAGTCCTTCAGTGTCAGTTAACGGCATGGTGATAGTCACTTTATGGAGAAAAAAATCTTGGAACTGTTTGGAGTCACAGTGAGCTTTTCATCCAAATATAGTCAGCAAGTGGAGTATATGATATTTGTTCTCAATCAAGCACTGAAGTGTCATTACGCAT